CAAATTTTTATACATGCAGATAGATGAACTTGATTGGTATTGAAACGAGTTTTTTTTTTTTTTTTTAATTTCGAAAAAGGATCCTTTACTTTCCCATCTCGTATAGAATCTTATAAATATTGCATAAACATAAAATTGCATAAATAATGTTTAAAAATCAATAATTGTATTTTACAAACATGAATATTAGATGTCAGAATTTTTTTCTTTAAAACAAAATACATTTCAATTTATTAAAATTAAATTTATATTTTTTTTTAAATGTATAAAATTTTTTTATTTTTGAGAAAAAAAATTTATTTTTTCATATCCTTTTATACTTATATGTCACTTGAATTGAACAAGAACATGGAATAATTTAATTAATATCCGCGAAAATTTCAATGTTGCCTCGGGGGAGGTCAGCTTTATATTACTCTTTGGGTTAGTTAACTTTCCTCTCTGGGATTATTAAATTGAACATCATTCAACAACCATAATCAGCATTAATATTCGTAATTAGTGTCTATCTTTCCTATAATTATGCTGATTATTTATCGCTATTTTTAAACCAGTTTTTCTATTTTTATCACTAAATTTCAGAGTAAAAAAAACAAATGTTTTTAAAGTGAAAAAATTTTTGTAAATATTTTTCTAATATTTGTAATTGTATTTATAAATTTAGAATACACTGAAAAAAAAATTTATTTGATTCAAATACTCGATTACTTGACTATTATCAAATAAATATTTATTTGTATCAAATAATTATTATTTGAGTCAATTAAATGGTATTTGTTTCAAGTACAGAAATTATTGGTTCAAATACAATTTATTTAATTCAAATAAAAATTATTTGGTTCAAATAAATATTTATTTGATAATACTCAAGTAATCGAGTCTTTGAATCAAATAAATTTTTTTTTCAGTGTAGGAATTCATTTATTTTTCCAAATTCGATTTTTTCTTTTCTTAAAAAAAATCTTCATTACCGCAACAGCATCTTAATTGACAGATTAAATTTACCCTGTTCTACCTCCAAAATTTACATAAATAAATAATGGAAATCAATGTTGTTTCTATGCAGGAAATATTTGCATTTTGGAATTTCTTGAAATTTATATAACATTTAAAAGACAAAGAGTTTTAAAATTTTGAGATCTTTCTTTGACAACGTTAGGTTTTTATTGTCATGTCAATAAAATGGAATAAATTTTTTTTTCTACTATATATATATATATAGCCACAAAAGCTGGTTTAGTTTACGGTTGTTGATTCTAGTCTAGGGGAACTAAAACGCACGATGGTTTACGGCAGTTGATTCTGTCAGAAGTTATTTTATATCTCGAGTAACAAAAGTGTAAAGCCACCGCGCGCAAGCATTACGGGATGGTAATTTAAAGCTTCACTGTTATCTTACGCTATCTCAGAATTAGTGTCATTCAACGGTGAGTTAGTTTACACCTGCGACATGGTGAATATACGAGCTCATGTGACTTTTGTTTCGTAAATGCACAACCCCCTTCATGAAAGTATATAAGGACAAATCTTCAATCTTGATTGCCTTCAAGCGAAAACTCTCCCTTGAGCTTCATAACAACCTCTCTGGTCACTCTCATTCTAGACATATTCCCTCTTTTCCTTCTCCATAGGAATTGTGAATTTTGCATTATTCAACAAAACTCGAATAACATGTATACGTCGAATTCTTCCTTCTCTCTCTCTCTCTTTTTTTCTTTTTTCAAAATGAAATGCAAACTTCTTGAAATAAACGATAATATAACATTTTATGTATAGGAGATAATTAAATCGAGGGAAATATTTTAATTCACTTTGTCAATTTTCAGTCGATAATAATTTCCTATAAAAATCATTAATTCGGATTTTTTTAAAAGTATTTTATTAGAAATAATTATTTTGAATTTTTGAATTAAAATTTTAGATTGTCTTTTTATACGAATTTTTACATAAAATTTTTAGCTACCGAATTTTTCTTTGGCAAAATTTTTTACATATTTTATAGTCATTTAATTTACATGAATTTTTATTTCAGAAAATTTTAATTTAACAGAATTGTTATTCAATTGAATTTTCCGTGATTCTAATTTTTAAATGACGGAAATTCCAATTGACCGAATTTTGAATTGTCAGAATTTTAATTTCTTTGAATTTTAATTTGTCTGAATTTTTAAGACGCCGAATTTTCAGTCGTCCGAAATTATAAATGGTCAAACAAAAAATCGACAAAAAGATTGCGGCGGAATTTTTTAAAATTGACCAATTATAAATTATCAAGAAAATCGTGATTGGTCAATTTTGAAAAATTGCGCCGAAATCTTTCTGTCGATTATTAGTTCGGTCATTTGTAATTTCGGACAAATGAAAATTTGGACAAATTAAAATTCGGACAAATTAAAATTCGGCGAATCGAAATTTCTGTCATTTTATAAATTTTGATTGAATAAAAAATCTGTTAAATTAAATTAAAGATTCTGCCAGAAAGAAATTTGTCAGTCGATAATAATTTCCTATAAAAATCATTAGTACGGATTTTTTTAAAGTATTTTATTAGAAATAATTATTTTGAAACGAATTTTTGAATTAAAATTTTAGATTGTCTTTTTATACGAATTTTTACTGAAAATTTTTAGCTACCGAATTTTTCTTTGGCAAAATTTTTATTTTATAGTAATTTAATTTACATGAATTTTTATTTCAGAAAATTTTAATTTAACAGAATTGTTATTCAATTGAATTTTCCGTGATTCTAATTTTTTTGGACGGAAATTCCAATTGACCGAATTTTGAATTGTCAGAATTTTAATTTGTCCGAATTTTTAAGACGCCGAATTTTCAGTCGTCCGAAATTACAAATGATCAAACAAAAAATCTCCAAAAAGATTGCGGCGGAATTTTTTAAAATTGACCAATTATAAATTATCAAGTAAATCGTGATTGGTCAATTTTGAAAAATTGCGCCGAAATCTTTCTGTCGATTGTTAGTTCGCTCATTTGTAATTTCGGACAAATGAAAATTTGGACAAATTATATTTCGTAAAGATAAAAATTCGGACAAATTATAATTCGTTGAATCGAAATTTCTGTCATTTTATAAATTTTGATTGAATAAAAAATCTGTTAAATTAAATTAAAGATTTTGCCAGAAAAAAATTTGTCAACTAAATATTTTGTTAAGTAAAAATTTCTATAAGAAATTCTGTCAAATTTTATTGGTATTAAATAATTTTTTATTTGAATTAAATAAATTGTATTTGAATCAAATAATTTTTTTTTTACTACAATTTAGAAAAGTTTCAGTTGTTGGTAGTTTTAATAAATATTTAAACAGTGATAGTTTTTAATTAATGGTAGTTTTTTTATGGTTTTTGGTAGAGTTTGAATTTTTAATGAATAAAAAAGAAAAAATAAAATTCTTCGTGATTAAAATTTTATTCACCGTCATTTTATGAGCGAGAAAGTCAAATGCAAATGTATGATTTATATTCTAAGTGACTACCCGACCCGCGAGGGAGGAATGGATCCAAGAAAAAGAAAAAGAAAAAGAAAATGCTGAACAAAATGTTAGATGGAACCTTGTATGGACTATAAAGTACAGGTGGAAAGTCTTTGACTATCTTTCGTCTTTAGCGTCCAACAATGCGCTCTTTTGAAATGTTGATACAATTGGAACGTCAAAACTTTATGGGAAATGTGATTTGAAATATCAAAAGGGAAAAAGTCGAAGGAATATAGAAAACTTTTTGATTAAACTTTAACACTGAGAAAACGAAAATTATTTTTGTTTTTTTTGTGTGTTTTAATTTGGAAGTTTTTTATTTTTATGATTTTCTATTTTTAAAATTAGAAAATTCAAAATAAAAACTAATATTTAGAATATTTGACTATAACCTTTTTTTTAAAAAATTAATTTAGTGTATAGGAATTTTTAAAATTCATTCCTCTCACGAAAATTCCTCAGACGAGTTTTTCTATTGTAGAATAAAGTTGTAGTTCGAAATTTATGCACAACGCTTATACCTCATGACTGGTTCTTCAGAGAAATCAATATGTCATACATCATTATTGGCATTTTTTATATCCCGTTCATCGTTTGACTTGGAATTTAGAAATTTCGCAATAGTCTTCATGGTATTGTGATATTAATTCAAAAATATGAAATATTTTTTATATTTTTTTTAAAATTATTATTATAATTAAATTATGAGAGATATTTTTTGAAATATTACGTTCAAAAGGTATACGGATTGTTTTTTGAATATATTTTTTATATATTCGTACATATTGTTTGAAACAATCGCTATTCTTTAATGAATAGAGAGAATATTGACAGTTTATAGAAGCTAACGATGTTGATAGAAAACAAAAATACAATGAACGCGTTTGATCACTGACAGAGGAAAAAACATAGCCAATTTTTAATTAAAAAGTATCAATAAATTTGTATACACGTGAAATATGTTTGTTACTTTTTAAGAAATATATAAAGCTTATATACAAAAGAGAATTGATCCTATTTTTGACAATTTTCACACAATTTTCAAAAGGGAAAAAAATGTACAGTTTTTTTTTAATTGTTTATTTTTTTTTTTTTATTAATTAAGAAATTCTTTTTTAAAATTTTCAAAACAATAAACCCGGAAAATTTTTCATTCTAACCAGAATGTATATCATGTGTTATACAAGCACGTCTTCTTCTAACAAGAAAACTTTCTTTATCAGGCTTCCGTTTCCGGTGCTGTTTGATAGTACACGTGTTTACGCGGTTGCATTGATTTTTTGAATTTTTTCGAGGGTTATTGTGAAGGGAGGGAGAGTGAGTAGTGAAAAAAGTGTGTAGTAGTGTATGAAGTGTATATGGTAAAAAATATTTGGGAGTGAGTGGTTGCTGAATCGAGAAAAAGGTAAAAGTGTGAAAGTGGTAAAAGGGTGAGGTTAGAAAGTGTGAGTGGGACAGGAGATTGAGAGAAAAGGAGAAAGAAAGTAGGTGGGTAAAGTAGGAGATGTCGTTGTTCGTGACTCCGCCTAGAAAAGAAAGAGGGCAGATAGAGTCGGTTGCGTCGCAGAGAACGGAGACGGGGAGCGAGAAGGCAAGTGTGGGAAGTGAGAGGGAAAGTGTAGTGAGTAAGGGGGGAGCAGAAAGCGAAGCCGGCAGTGATATCGCTGTGTTAGATTCTCCAAAGGCGAGAAAGAAAGACACGCAGCAAAAGGCGGATCGAGAGAAAGAAAAAGAAGGAAAGGACACAAGGGGTAGAAAGACGAATAAGGAAAAAAAGGAGAGGGGGGTAAGCTTTGCGTCGGTGGTGATGATGGACGGTTTTGTCAGGAAAGGGGATAAAGAAAAGCAAGAGACAGGTAAAAAAGAAAAGAAAATGGAAGCAGAGGAAGAAGAAAAGCAGGAAGAGGGGGGTTTTGGAAAGATTTTCGAGATGTTGAAGAAAATGGGGGAAGAGTCAAGAAAAGGATTAGAAGATATGCGAAAGGAATTAAGTGAGAGTAGGAAAATAGATGAAGATAGAAACACCAAAATGGATAAGAAAATGGAAGGGGTCTTAGTGGAAATGGCAAAGATAAGGGAAATGTGGACACGGTATGAGGAAGAATGGAGGAAAGAAAAAGATAATGTATGGAAAAAATTGAGTAGTTTGGAAAAAGGGATTAGTGATAAAGAGGAAGAAAGGAAGGAAGATGTAAGAAGAATAGAGGAAAGAATTGAAGGACTAGAGGGCCTAGAGAAAAGAATGGAAAGTTTAGAGAAGAGGGGAGAAGTTGAGAACGTGGATGGGGTGATAGAATTAAAGATGGAGGTAAAAGAGCTCAGAAGAGAGATGGAGTTCATGGAGAGAGAAAGAAGGAAGAAGAACATCTTGGTAAAAGGAGCAAAGGCAGATAGAAAAAAGGGGAGAGAGAGGGTAGAAAGAGTGCTAGAAGAGATAGGGGTAAAAGTGAATATAAGGGAGGTAAAGCCTGTGGGTAGGGAGGATGAGGAGGGAAGGGTTGGAATGTGGCTGGTAGAATTGGGAAGCGAGGAGGAAAAGCAAGAGATCATGAGAGCAAAAAGTAAATTAAGGGGGACGGAAGTAAGAATTGATGAAGATAGGACGAGGAGAGAAAGATGGATTAATAAGGTATTATTAGGGAAGGCTTGGGAGGAGAGAAGAAAGGGGAACGCAGTAAGGTGGGGAAGGGAATGTTTATGGATTCAGGGAAGAAAATGGATAGTAAAGGAGGGGACAGAAGAGGTGGTAGAAGACGGAGGGGAAGGGGGGTTTGGAAGAGAGAGACAAGAGAGGGAAAGGAAGGAGGGAATAAACCGGGAGGATGCAAATTAATTTTCTGGAATGTTTCGGGTTTAAATAATAAGGAGGAGGGTTTCTGGAGGGATTTGGGAAAATGGGATATGTTATTTCTGAGTGAAACATGGGTAGAAAAGAAGGAATGGGAAACAATAAGGAGAAGATTGCCGAAAGGATACAAATGGTTAATGCAGGAAGCGAAAAGGGATCATGTGAGAGGTAGGAGCTCTGGAGGCATGATATCAGGAGTAAGGAATAACATCAAGGAGATCGGGACGGGAGAGGAATGGAGAAGGGAGGATAGTATGGTAAGAAGAATTGAAGTGGGAAAGCAGAAGGTAAATGTGGTAGGGATTTATAGAAGAAGGGGGGATAGTAAGGGATGGAGGATAGTAGAGGAATGGATGGAAAAAGGGAAAGAAGAGTTAACCATAATAGGGGGGGATTTCAATGCATGGACGGGGGAGTTAGGGGGGGATCATTGGAACAGTGAAAAGGAGAAATACGAAAGGAGATCAAAACATAAGGAGGTGGATAAAGAGGGTAGAAAGATGTTGGGTATAATAGGGGAGGGGGGTTGGACAATTTGTAATGGTTGTACGAAGGGGGATATGGAAGGAGAGATTACGTTTATGGGAAAAGGACAGACGGTGATAGATTATGTGATAGCGGACGAGAAGACAAAAGAAATAATAAAGAGTGTAGAAGTAGGAGATGAAGCAGATTCTGGACATTTCCCGCTAATAGTTGAAATCGAAGGGCAAGGGAGAAGAGTAGAGAAGAAAAGGACAGGAGTAAATAAGAGGGATAAAATGGGAAAGTGGGATATATCGGAACTAACGGAGTTTGAAGGGAGAGTTAAAGAAAAAAGTAGGGAATTTGGGAAAGGAGGAGAAGTGAATGAGAGATGGGAGAGATTAAAGAGGGTAATTGGGGAGGTCAAAAGAGAAATGGTGAAGGAAAGGGAAGGAAAGGTAGAAACTAAAAGGGGTTGGTGGGATGAAGAGTGTGAAAAAAGTAGGATAAAGTTAAGGGGTTGTATAAAGAGGTGGAGAAAAGGGGAAATGAAGAAGGAAGATTATAATAGGGAACATAAAGAGCACGGAAAATTGGTGAGGAAGAAAAGAGAAGAAGGAAGGGAAAGGTACATAAAGGAGGTTGAAAAGGCAATAGAAGAGGGTAGGGAATGGGAAGTGATCAACAGAGAAAGAAGGAAGGGAAAAGAGATTAATAAGGAAATTAGCATAGAGGATTGGACGAAATATTTTCAGGGATTAAGCGGGGGGATGGGATATAAAATAAGAGGGGAAGGAAGGAGAAGAGAGGTAGAAATGGAGCAGGAGGAGATAAGTCGAGAGGAGGTGAACGAGGCGATAAATAGGATAAAAAGGAATAAGGCAGCAGGAGAAGACGGAATGGAGGGGGAGAGCTTAAAATATGGGGGAGAAGGGGTTAGAGAGGAGATGTGGAAAATCATAAATTTAGTATGGAATGGGGAAGGATGGCCAGAAACGTGGAAGACAGGGTTGGTAGCACCGATCTTAAAAAAAGGAGAAGGGAAAAGGGTAGAAGATTATAGGGGGGTGACGTTGATGCCAGTTGGTTATAAGGTATATGCAGAAGTAGTCAGGAAGAGGCTAGAGGAAAAAGTAGAGGAGCTGGAATGCATACCACATAATCAAACTGGTTTCAGAAAGGAAATGGGGACGATGGACAATATATACGTCCTGAATTACATAGTAAATAGGAATTTGGGAAGAAGTAATGGGAAGTTGGTGGCTACTTTCGTGGATTTGAAAGCGGCATTTCCATCGGTGAATAGGGGGATTTTATGGAAGGTTTTAAAGGAGAGGGGAATAGAGGATGGATTGATAGAAAGAATAAAGCAGTTGTACGAGGACACCAAGGAAAGGGTGAAAATTGGGAATAGGTTGGGGAGGGAATTTTGGCTGGGTAGAGGGTTGAGACAGGGCTGCCCCCTGAGTCCAATACTGTTCAATATGTTGATTGCGGATCTGGAAGAGAGAATGAGGAAGAGAGGTAAAGGGGGGGTTATACTAAGGAATGGAAGAATATATACGCTGGCGTATGCGGATGATGTGGTTTTGATGGCGGAAGATGAGAATGGAATGAAATTGTTGATGAATGAATTTGAGAAATATGTGAGGGAGAAAGACTTAAGAGTGAATGTGGAGAAAACGAAAGTGTTGAGATTTAGGAAAAAGAAGGATAAAGAAGAGATGGAATGGAAGATGAATGGGAAATGTGTGGAAGAGGTGAATGAGTTTTGTTACTTGGGGTATTGGTTTATGTATAGTGGAAAGCAGGATTTGAATGTGGCACAAAGAGTGGAAAAAGGGGGGAAAGCAATGGGTCAAGTATGGGGAATTGGAAAAAGGAGGTTTGAGGATGACTGGAGGAAAAGAGTGTGGCTGTTTGATGCGTTGGTATGGTCGATAGTGAGTTATGGAGTGGAAATATGGGGGTGGAATGAAATCGGGAAGTTGGAAAGTATGCATGAGAGATATTTGAGATGGACGATGGGGGTGGATTGGAACTGCCCGGGGTATATGTTGAGAGAGGAAATGGGTAGGGAAAAAATGGTGACGAGGCAGAGAAGGAGGGCGAGAAATTTCGAACAAAAATTGGAACAGGGAAAGGGAAGTAAAATAGCGCAAACATGCTGGGGATTAATTAGAGAGGGTGAGAGGGGGTGTAAAAGATGGGAAAAAGGAAGAAAGGATGCGATACAAGAGGGGAGAGAAAATATGGGAAGGGGGAGGGATTTAATCGAGGCATGGGGGTGGAGAGATAGAGAGGAAAGGTGGAAAAGGATCAGGGAATCAAAGTACAATAAATGGTACAAATTTATCAAAAGGGAGGAAATGCCGAAATACTTGGGTAGAAGATTAAGGTACGAAAGGTGGAGTAGGGTATGTAGGTTTAGAATGGGTGAAGGTATGAGAGAATGTAAGTATTGGTTGGAAGAGGATGAAAGGAAATGTAGAGTATGTGAGTTTGAATGTGAAGATTGGGAACATGTGCTGGATAGATGTAATGGATGTATGGATGGGGAAAAAAGTGTTATGGAAAGAGTGATTTGGATATTGGATGAGAATGGTCAGGGCGAAAGATGGATGAATGAGCTGGAAGATTTGAGGAAAAAGAGGACAGAGGGGTTAATTTAAGATCGTATCCGTGGGGAGGGTTAGTAAAAAAGTAATTTTGAGGATGCCAAAAAGGGCACAAAAGTACTGGAAGCGGAAGCCCTGGCACTGGTTGGCAAGGCACGAAAAAGTTTTTTTTTTTAGTTTGTAAAAATAGGTAGTTATAAGTTAGGTAGTTTTAAGTTGCGTTAGTTTTAAGTCAAAATGTATTTGTAGGTTAAGATTGTATGGTTGGGAGTCTCGAACCCTGTATAAAGCAGGGAGAGTAAATAAAGATAAAAAAAAACTTTCTTTATCAGATCACATGGACTCACATTTATTAAAAACTTGGTATCCAGAGAACGCTTTAGAAAATTTATTTGATAAATTTTTATTAAAGTGAATATAAACTCATATTTTCTAAAAAAAATTACTCTCCATATAAGCATTTCTGTTGCATGTACAACATTTATATTATCATCGCCATAATGCTATGTTCGTGATATAACTCGTATATAATTTTATTTAATTAGTTTCGGAAAATTTTATTTTAAAATTACATTTACAAACAAGGGTATAGTTTTAGTGGTAGTATCAAAAAGTTTTCCGATATCAAATAAATAATTAGAATTATTTGTTTTGAATTTTTTTTTTCTGAATTTAATTTCAAATTTTTTTTTAAAAATTGTGCAATGAAGTTCTTCTTTTACAGTCTTATTTCAATTTACGTTTGAATTACCTCCTTTCAAAACTCTCACGTATATAGATGTACAAGAGGGAAAATCTGAGTAGGATTTGAAATTCCATATGAATTGTATTAATAACGGCATCCCCCTTAAATCTTGTACTTTCTATAGACAAAAACACCTGAGGTAATCCGTTTACTAACGACACAAATAAATTTATAACATTGTAGTCGACATGCTATAGATGTATAGAAATCTTTGTGAATTCAGTAATTTTATCGTCTTAACCAAATCCTATTTGTCCCTATATAATTGAAACGTGTCGTCGCAGTAAAGATTATTATGTTCCCTGCGTTTGCACTCGATGTATTTTCTACAGAAATTCTGAATAGATTACAAAGACATATAATAACTGAAAACAATTAGATTTTTCTAAAGTTTTTAAAGTTATTTTAAAAATATTTCGATTTTTTAAAATTATTCACATTTTGTAGAAGTTAATTTAGATTTTTTTTTTAGAATTTTTCTTTTTTTAATCTTTATCTAACTTTTACCGTATTAAAAAAAAATGTAGCACGTTGGATTATCGCCACGCTGTTGAGTTTATATATATATATATTTTCTTGGGAAAAAATATATATAGATAAACTTTATTGAATATCAGTCTTTTTTTTTAAATGAAAAATGGTAAAACAAATAAAAGAAAATTATTTTTTATTATTGGTTTATATTGTGAGTTTTCTGTGACTGCAAGAGACATGCTTCATTGCTTTTTCAATATATCTCAAGTGCTGAAGTTATTCGGAAAATAAGTATATATATATAAAAAGCTTCTTTTGTCTTCATCTTATTAGCTTATATATATATATATAGGTATTGAAATAAAATAAATCAACGAAATAGATATTTTCCGTCAAAATAAGATTTTCTATTTATTACAGATTTGTGGAAGAATCATAAAATTGAAAAATTGATGTTTAACTTCTTTTTTAAAGGTATTATATCCATAAAGAAAATTACAATAATACAATTCTTCAGTATTATTATTTCTCTTTTTGTATAATTGTTTCTGAAAAAAATTTATTTGATTCAAATAATCGGTTAGTACACACCCAAAAAAAGTAATCTTAAATTTAGAGAAAAATTCCTCTTCTAAAATCCTTTGAATATTTCCTCTTAAAATACGAATATTCCATTTGACTGTAGAATATTTTTATTCTTTGTTGTAATGGAACAATGACAAAAGGAGTACTTTTGCATTTTCCTCTTCAATTACGATTTTCCTGTTTAAATTTAGTATATTTGAAAAAAGGAAAAGTTACATTCTTTTCTTGTTTGACATTTGCGCTTTTGTTTTTCGAAATTGTCAATTTTCGTATTTTGTCATAATAGTGTTGTGTTATAAATCGAAAGACCAAAATGGAAAAGAGACTCGAAGATTTACTAAATGATTTAAATCTGGGTGGATATATTGAATGGAGGTATAAATACAGAAAATATAACCTCTCTATGAATCTTCATTTCTTACTAATTTTCTTAAATATTTGCGTCGAACTATTTTGATATTTGCAACTGGCTATAGCATTTTTTTATTATTATTGTAATTAAATCTAATGTATTGATGCTCAGCAAAAAGCAAGAGATTTTTTTCAGAAATGTTTAATTAAAAACCAATATTTCATTCTTTATTCATTCATAATTTACCTTTTTTGAATGTAAATAATAATTAAATCTTATTAAATATTTATTATATTATTCAAATTTTAAAAAAATATTAGTTCTCTTGACATTAATAACACTAGGAATTTTTTTTGTTGAGGTTTTGATATCAACATTTAATTCAATGTGTCAAAACTGTACTTTATTATCAATACATAACCATTATTGTCTAATAACACAGGCACACAAAAAGTAAAATGTGGTTTGGCCGAGACACTACACTAGTCTATTTTCATGTATTTTTTCACGCTGAATCCGAATCCGAAGTCAGAATTATCAGATTGGCTTTTATTTTTGAGATAAACTCAAAAAACTGCTCAGAAAGAAAAATAAAATCAAAAAGTTAAAAAATTTTTGAATGTCACTGCGATAGTGTAATTCCATGTATTTTTTGTCGCTGAATCCGAATCCAAAGTCAGAATTGTCAGATTCGCTCAAATTTTTGAGATAATTGCAAAAAAACGCAAGTAACAAAAAACTAAAAATACTCAAAATCAGTTTTTTTGAATTATCTTCAAAATTTGAGCCAATCTGTCAATTCTGACTTCGAATTCGGATTCAGCGTGAAAAAATATATGAAAATGCACTATCGTAGTGTTTCGGCAACAAAAAATTTCTTTGAGCTAAAATCGCCAAAAACTGATAAAAATTCTGAATTAGGGGCACAGATAATTTTTTTGCCGAAACACTACGATAGTGCATTTTCATGTATTTTTTCACGCTGAATCCAAATTCGAAGTCAGAATTGATAGATTGGCTCAAATTTTGAAGATAATTTCAAAAAACTGATTTTGAGTATTTTGAGTTTTTTGTTACTTGCGTTTTTTTTGCAATTAACTCAAAAAATTGAGCGAATCTAACAATTCTGACTTTGGATTCGGATTCAGCGACAAAAAATACATGGAATTACACTATCGCAGTGACATTCAAAATTTTTTTTAACTTTTTGATTTTATTTTTCTTTCTGAGCAGTTTTTTGATTTTATCTCAAAAATAAAAGCCAATCTGATAATTCTGACTTCGGATTCGGATTCAGCGTGAAAAAATACATGGAAATAGACTAGTGTAGTGTCTCGGCCAAACAGCTTTTTATTTTTTGTGTGCCTGTGTAATTTATTCAAAACCTGTGTATTACGGTTATTTTCAACTTGTCAAAATATTAGAATATTATTCTTCCTTTAAGAGGATTTCTTCGAGAGGAAAATCCTTCTAAATTAAGATTATTACTTTTGATACCAAAAGTTAAGAGGAAAATATACATTACATTTAGAGGAATCCTCTAGAATGAAGATTACTTTTTTTTAAGGTGGCATAAAGAAAATTACAATAATACAATTCTTCAGTATTATTATTTCTCTTTTTGTATGTAGTAGAAAAAAATTTATTTGATTCAAATAATCGGTTAGTGTAATATCAAATAAATATTTTTTCAGTTTTTTCAAATTGTGGAATAGTTTATTTATTTTTTTTTTTTTTAAATGGATTTTTAATTTCTTTTGAAATTTAAAAATTTGTTAAAACAGTATCTCTGGTTTTACTTGCGTGTCCATTTACAATTATATGATTGGCCTTCCCCCTCATATAGCTTGGAGCTTACAGCTCAGAGCTTGAATTTAGCATGTATACGCCGGTGTATTTTAACTAGATTATAGGAAAATGAAGGGAATAACTTATTTAAAGTTAATTGTATAGTGTTTTTCGGCAAAAAAAAAAGTATATACAAAAATTTCTTTTTCATATTAACATTTGATAATTATCGGGTTCAATGCTCTACGAAGGCATTTCATTATGCTTGCGATATGTGTAATATCTTTTAACGAATATAGAGGAAGCATACAGGATCTAATTACCATATAAATTTTGATTATAGTGATAAAGCAGGAAGGTCGCGTGGTAGAAATTTATATGTATATATATAACAAGAGTTGTGAACAATATGTCAAAAGCACCTGTTTACGTGCATATAATTTAGAAAATATTGCAATGAACTTGTTATAGATATTGCGTGCATTTAGAAATATAATATTCCTGTTGTATATATTCCTTTCGTTGATTTCCTTCAAACGTTATGAGATTTGACCATACATACATATATATTCGACTATATATATGTGTTTGGCTCAGTAGAAATTGGCACACAGTGACGTTTCCTTTCGGGTATTAATCTATCTCTAGGAACTTGATAATCAAAGCTAACAAATTTCCAAGTATGTACATATTGGGTTATGTGTACCTTTGAAAATGAGGTAGACAATATGAGAGTATATAGTTTGTAGCAAAAGATCGTTTGATATTTAACGACATCCTAAAAAGCTCCCTTGAGAATATTTCATTGGAGCTTTAAATTTTGTCGAGGCCTACCACAAGATTATTCTGTTTTAATGTTTTAAAGCATATCTTATGGTAATATTGTAGAATATACGGTGTGATTTTTATGTTCCGGAGCCCTTAAAAATTTATTTAATTTTATTTTTTTGTTTAAAAAAACAAAAAAAAAAAAGAAAGAAAATTTTTAGGGGTTCAATATATGAAATAGTTGGGATATATGAATATAATATGTTTAAGATTTTAGATGAAAATTATCCGACGAATTTAATCAAAAGAAAAATATTAAATTCCATTATAAAGTAAGAGCTT